CCCTACTCCCAGTGACCATACTTGGTTGTGGGGGAGTGCCAGTACTGAAGCCACAGATTGACTAGTCTCGACTAGAGTCAATGGAAGATTCTGAAAGCCAAAGGAACAGGCAAAACTTTAAACCAGCAGAAGTGCCAAGATACAAAATATGGAATCCAAGAGGCCGTCAAATCCAAGTAAGCCAAAAGCAGGTCATGAAATATGTCAGGGCCTAACGTATGGTGCCAGAGAGAGGAAAGCAAGCACTGAGGAGGCAATAGATAGGATGAGAGTTGAGGGACGTTCTGCATGATTTCCTAGAGTACCTAACCATTGAGGGTTTGCAGTTTGCTTTTGTGGACCAGCCAGGGCGTGGTCATTGACGGTCCAGCCCATTTACAGGACTAATGGCAATGAGAGCACCCCTGAAGTGGGAAATATTTCTCATTACCATTGTGTTGGCCCACACCCATCCCAACTACTGGTTCTTGGAAAGAAGATGGCATCGAGGGTAGTTGGTCACTTTTCACCACATATACATGGCTCCTGATCTCAGGTTGGCAGATGTTGGCATAAGTAACGAAGGAGGCAGGGTCGTGCTGATTCAGGTATGACCAGAGCCAGGAACAGAACAATGAGGAGGGAGTTCCAGGGTAATAATGCAATAATGGCTTTTATGACCCGTAAGAATTCCCTGCAGCGTGGTTCGTCTTGTCAAAGGCAGATTTACCTACATGTCTGGGGAGTGCCTGTGCCACCAGCCCCTGGTTGGTCGCCTCTGCTGTCTGGCTCTAGTCAACATTTAAATTTCTCACTAGCTCGCCAGAGGGCACCTTCCGGGTCTGCTCGAGCAGCCTGTGACTTATCTTCCACTATTCATTGGCTGTTGGGATGGGATGGGAGTGCTTGACGGGTGGGAAATGCCAAGGCTAAGTTGCTACGAAACTGCCCTGCGGGAAAGGGTCTAGTGATGGTCAAGGGGAAGTTCTTCAGAGGCTGGTGAGGCTTCAGTGCCTCCTGCGAGTCCCAACAGCAGTCTTCTCTTGACACCCAGGTGCTGCGTTCCAACTGGTTACTACTGATCTTGAAGTGATGGCTGGAGGACAAGCTGGACAGTACAATCCAAAACCAAGATATGCGCTAGGGAAGAGTTTTTCTCCAGAAATTTAACATTAACAGAGCAGCAGTGCCTTAGTTAGTTCAGGCTGCTCTATAACACAATACCATAAGGTGGCTTCCAAACAACAGAAATTTCTCACTTGAGGCTGGGAAGTCCGAGATGAAGATGCCAGTCAACCCGGCGAGGGCCCAATTCTTGGTTCACAGACAGCTGTCTTCTCGCCGTGTCCTCTCACGGCATAAGAGGGGAGCTCTCTGGGGTCTTTGTTATAAGGGCGCGAATCCCACTCGTGAGGGCTCCACCCTGTGACCTAATCATCTGCCAAAGGCCCGCCTGCTAACACCATCGCATCGGAGGCTAGGATTTCAACGTAGGAATTCTGGAGCGACACACGAATGGAGTCCATTGTAGGCAGCAAGCTGATAGAAGGGGAGATGTTCCAGTCTGGAGCTGGAGTCCACTGTGACCAATACAACATGGCTGTGAGAGTGCGACAAGTCCATGACAAGTTCTGTGCCAGTGCTATTCCAGGGCATCTGGTGCTTGGCAATGACTCTTTAGTCTGTCTAGACCTGAATTTATTGTGCAGGCATGTGACTTAATGGCTGGCGTACTACAGGTTGTTGGACTCCACCAGAAAGAAGTCATCTTTAAGGAGGCTTTGCAGGCTCTCCTTAAAAACTTCAAGGGCCACCGTAGCTCACCAGTAGTAGCAGGAAGGTGCTGGAGGCCTGCAGTTTGGACTCCCCTAAATCTGGGAGGCCCACCAGGTCATTCTGCCTATGCCTTGCATCCTGTTTCTTTGAGGGCTATTTCTGGATGGCTGAGTAAGTATAATTCCCCTTGTCACATTGTTCCTGGTGGCTACCGTGTTCTCCGGCAGAGTCTACTGGGTCTACAAAGGTTCTGATGTCCTCTAGAATTTTGTGTCAGTGCATTTGCTCTGCAGTTGAGCTGAGCAACAAGTAGAGGGTATGGAAATCAAACCCTCTAAAAAGAGCGGTCATTGGGGCCCCTGGGTGGCTCAGTCGGTTAAGCGTCCGACTTTGGCTCAGGTCATGATCTCGCAGTTCATGGGTTTGAGCCCCGCATCAGGCTCTGTGCTGACAGCCTGTGAGCCTGTGGGAGCCCCGGCTGATTCTAAGGCCTCCTTTCTATCCCTCCCCCACACACACACTTGCACTCTCTCTCTCTCTCTCTCTTTCTCTCTCAAGAATGAACATAAAAAAATTTTGGGGGGGCGGGGGGCGCCTGGGTGGCTCAGTCGGTTAAGTGGTGGACTTCGGCTCAGGTCATGATCTCACGGGTCCCAGTGAGTTCTGTGCCTGCTGCCGGGCTCTGTGCTGACAGCTCAGAGCCTGGAGCCTGTTTCAGATTCTGTGTGTCCCTCTCTCTGACCCTCCCCTGTTCGTGCTCTGTCTCTCCCTGTCTCAAAAATAAATAACGTTAAAAAATATTTTTTAATTTTTTTTTTAACAAGAGGGGTCATCAACTGCACTTGCAGCCTTTTCTGATGTGGAGAGGCAGTATAGCACTATAGCTGAGAGCCTGTGCTCGGCTGCTAGGCGTACCAGATTTGGTCACTCACTAGATGTTTAGCTTTAAACACGCTACTTGTCCTGACAGGAATGAGGATAAAAGTATGACCCACATCACAGAATTGTTGTGATTAAATGAGATAATATACGAAGTGCTTGGCACAGTGATGACGCCAAGTAAATCCTCAGCAAATGGCTATTACTGTCTTCTGGGTTTACCCCAGCAGCTCTAAATGACAGTGACCAAGCTGTACACAAAGACTGGCCCCCTACACAGGTTGCCCCCATGCTTCAAAGGTAGCCCTGACGGCCAGTAGCTCCCGCCCCCAGGGCGGTGGTTCTTGGACAGGACCAGCTGAAGAACTTAACGCACGGGGTCTCTTGTGTTAGAATCCCGCCTCAAGATTTCAAGGACTTGTTGTCAAGGTGCACAGAGGCACTGAGATTGGGGGGTAGGGGGAACACAGAGGAGTAGGATGAGGCCCACCCAGTTTCCTCTCCGGGAGGGTCAGGCCAGCTCTCTGGAGCTGAGGTCAGCACGCCTTTGTCTGGACATCCGAGCAGAGCCGCTGGCCTCTCGGGAGCCCAGCTCAGGGTCACTCTGAGAAGGTGTGGCAAGGTGTCGAGGACTATCTCAAACTGCCCACAAGTCAGCTCTTTGGGAAAACGGAGCTGCCCAGGCTGTTAGGGAGCACCGGTGCAGACGCCTTTCCTGTAGCACACGTTTTGTTCTTTAACCCACTTCACATCCTTTATGCCCTCCTACCACCAACCTCATTGTCTTCTGGGCATTTCCTTTACCCATACTGTGATCTGTTTTGGTGGAATAGTAGAGCAAGGTGTCCTCCCTTCCCTTTAAGGCAGCTAGAGATCCCAGACATCCTCTTGCCACCACTGGTACATCCACGGGGTGGTTTGTGACCACAGGGTAGCCTTTCTGTCACTCAGACTTTAGCACAATCATTTAAAGACGGAAGAAACGATTGGAGTTTGTTTGGTGATAGCAACTGGGGCACGTGGTGAAGCAGTTCTTGCTCCTGAAATCTAAAACTGTCTGGTCCCATCTGTTCCTGGCCTGGCTCTTTAAGACTTCCCTCTACCCCCTGGGCTCCCCAACACACTTTCGTGTGTTTGCAAGAGTGGGTTTCTGTGGCTCGCAAGCAAACCACCCAGCTAGGTTCATGGTGCCAAACGTCTCGTTCTAATTGTGGCAGCAGCCGTAACTCTGGCCTTTAGAGATGGAGCCTTGCACCCGATAGAGCTGCCGTGTTCTGAGGAGCAAGGCTCTCGTGTTCAGGGATGGGGGCTGCTGATTTGTACGGAAACGACCACTCATTGCTGCAAAGTGGGAAATTAATTAAAAAGTATTCTGAAATGCCACCAAGAAGCCTCCAAATTTGCTAGAATCATCTAGAATCTCTGGGAAAGCAAAAGGGTAGGGCTGGCTCTGCCCCAGCAAATGAACTGTAAGTGGGAACATCAGCTTTGGCTTCCGGCTGAGCCACAAACACAGCCAACTGTCTGAAGTCCCGTTTTCTTCCCTCAGACTTAGAGCCATCCCGCAGGCTTCGGTAGACCCCACGCGTTCTTGAAACTCATCCTACCCGCACTTTGATGGTGGCCAGACGTAGGCCTGGCCAGCGACTGGGCTGACAAAGGCTGGGGACTCTGGGTCACGGGGTTTCTGAGGTGTAAGGAACAGGCAAAGGTCCAACATTCCAGGAGATGAATCCAAAGGAACACCAAATACGTGGAGCCAAAGCGGGTACAGAAATCTCAGCACAGGTGTTTGGCGCCCGAGATCAGAGCAAGTGCTAGCGTACCAGGAGCAGTGAGGCAGGAGGGAGTCCTTGCTGAGTGACCGCCCAGAATGTCCATTTGTCACTTGCAACTTATTTTTGCAAGTTAGTCCATCTCTAGTGCCTACGTGGATCCAGGGTCACGAACAGAGCAGATATGGGAGGCGATTGAAGCAAAAAATGGAGATTCTGGGTGAATCTTCAGCAATGTTCTTAAATTTCAGTAACGACCTTCCGCCCTTTCCCTGTGAAGGAAACCACCTGAACAATGGCCTGGTGTTCCATCACCATTGCCAAACATCTGGACACAGGTCCAGTAAGCTGGGGGCCCTGACACCGATCAGTTCTGTGACCGTGGGGAGTCGTATAACCCTTTGGGGCCTCAGTTTCATCTTCTGAGGAATGGGGATAACAGTATCTCCCCGACCTACTTTGTAGTGGTATTGTGAAAATCAAATAAATCATAAGGATGCCTGAAATCATAAGAAATCTGAAAATGCTGCAGAAACCTGAGAGCCTTGTCAGGCTCCTCTCTTTTAAATCGAAAAAATAATGCTTTTTATCTGCCACTCTTCTTTGCAGAGTTCAGAGTCTTCAAAAAGCATTATTTTCTTGACAGTAACTGATACTTTTCACGGACCTCTGTTAGGAACTCAGCTGAAGAGGCTAGCAAACTTTCGCACAAGCTATTTTTAATCTGGGAAATAAGCTAATGCACTTATTCCCTCCAGCCACTGCTGCGACTTGTAAAAACAAAATATTCGCGGCCTTTGCAGTAGCTGTTGCGCAGGAAGTCCCTCGGATCGAGCCACACTGTCAGCTCGGTAGCACACGGGTATCGGTGAGGGCAGCCATGCTGAAGCCCAGCACCCTAAGGATGTTACTTGGGCTTGGTCTTATAGGTGGGTTTAGTCCGGGTCCTGGACTTAGGGTTGAGAAGACCCTCCTTGCGCTGCGCTTCTGAAAAGACAAAAACAATTAGAATACTGTAGTAACGACATCTAATATTTACGGAGGACTTTTAACTTCACACAGTGTTAAAAAATTCCATTCTGCCTGAGTACCTCCCAAGCTACAAACAGGCAATGTACCTACCCCAAATTTGACTCTAAGTTGGTTACTGGGATTCAGAGCACATTTTCCCAAAGGTAAAGTGCAGTCAGCTAGTCACCTGAGTTCTGGGTCCCGGAAAAGAGGACTATGTGGTCAAGGAGAGGGATTTCCTCTTCCTTCCTATACATATCCTGAGACTGGCGGGAAAAAAAAAAAATTCAAATAGAGCCAGGATCCAGAATCCCCATCCATTGCTGCACTGCTGTCTCCCCGCCTCCTGCACACAGACCCTACTCCAGCCCCGCCCTCGGGACGGGTGCAGGGGGCCTCCTGCCATCAAGCTGGCTCTCCCTGGCTGCTCCATGACACCAGGCTTCTCACTTCGAATCCTTCCGACTGGCTGCTGCCACCTCATCCTGCATTCGGTCCTCTTGTTCACGCCCTCCTCTTGCTCCTAGTGTATCTCCGGGCTCCCAGCTCCCAGCTCCTAACCGAGGCAGGCCTCGCTGAGATCAGAGACTAAGCCACCATTCATCTTTGTCAACTTCCCTCTCGATTCCTGTCTTCATTCACAGCTCAGAGCACAATGATTTGCCAAATATGAAAAATACTGACATAAAACAAAAACAAATGTGTCTCCTACTCCGTCCAGATCTTCCCCATACCCAGCGTGCACAAGCCTCGTCCCTTTACCGTATGTAAGCATCCCTTCGCAGCCCATCTCTTGGGGGAAGGTGATCTCATGCTCCATATAACACAAATATGACACTGCATGTGCCATACAAGTCCCACATTGGTCTCATTGCATTTTTCAAAGGAGCTGTCTGCTCACCCTAAGGAATGTCCAATTTATGGATTTTCCGGGGAAAGTGGTCAGGTCTCCTGCATGGCGTGTGGACTGCCAGGCTTAGGAGCCAACTCTCCTAAGCCTTGCAAAGCTTCTCATCCTCCACTTTTGAGCCCCCCTGACAATGACTCTGAAGGGGTGTTTGGAAGGAAGGGGCAAGGTGGCTATGTTTGTGTAAGTAATTGTTTATAGGTTGGGGATACACTGTATACAGTCATCCTCTACTTAAAACTATAGTAGAGTCATCCTCTACTTAAAACTATTAATACTTTTTCTATTCTGGATTTAACCTCATCCCCACGATCTTTATGGAAATCGAGAAAAACAAAGTCACTCATTCCATACTGAGGTAACCTCTCCAGGTTAACGCGAAAGCCTTTGGCATGGTTTGCATATTTATTATTCCGTAATCTGGAAAAAGTCTAGTTTGCAAGCCCTCAGGATAAAATTACACAGTGTAAGATGAAAATTTTTTAATCCGTGAATACTATCTCACATATAGTCAAACGTAAAGCTAAAGGATTGTCACACTTGGAATAATCAGCGTTTTACTAGTGGACAGTTAACAGAAAGAGAGAAACTGAGCTCAGTCTGGTGACAGTACGGATACATCACACGTGAGCGGGAGGCTGTGGGGCACCGGCTAACCTACTACTTTTGTTGGGGGTGTAGGTGAAGACAGGAGTGACCAAAGAAAACAGAAAGTAGCTATGTTCCCGGTGCTATCCCTTGTACTGGCAGCTGTCCTGGGGTGAGACCACAGGTGGAAGATGAAAACAAAAATCAAAAAATAGCCTCCAAAACTGGGGATACGGGAAACTGCTTGAGGGCAGGTTATAGCATTAATTAGAGACAAGAAAATAAAGAGTTAAATCTTTTCCTGTAGAATAATAATAATTCCTGTAGAAGAATAATTTTCATCATAGGAAATCCAACAAGTATCAAAAACTAAACTGAAAATTCCCCATAAACCTCCATCAACCAGAGACAATGTCTGTCAATATTTGGACACAATTTCCTTCTGGTCTTTTTTAAAAAAGAGTTTAAAAACGCTTTAAGTAAGAGTTAAATAATGCTGTAAAAAAGTGTGTCATATCCTGTTTCCTTACATTTGATATTTAAATATAAGAACTTCCCATGTCATTATAAACCATTTAAATAGTGGTATAATATTCAAGTATATTAGTATAGCATTATTAATTAACCCTTCTTCCATGATTGGAGGTAGGTTATTTCTATTATATACAATGATACATTGAACATCTTTGTGCATTAATCTTTTTTTCTATATTTAGGATTATTTCCTTGGACTAGATTCTCAAGGGTAAAATCAGTCAGAGGTCAAAGTATATGCATGTTTTAAAGGCATATCCAGGGGCGCCTGGGTGGCGCAGTCGGTTGAGCGTCCGACTTCAGCCAGGTCACGATCTCGCGGTCCGTGCGTTCGAGCCCCGCGTCACGCTCTGGGCTGATGGCTCAGAGCCTGGAGCCTGTTTCCGATTCTGTGTCTCCCTCTCTCTCTCTGCCCCTCCCCCGTTCATGCTCTGTCTCTCTCTGTCCCAAAAATAAATAAACGTTGAAAAAAAAATTTTTTTTAAAAATAAAGGCATATCCATACATACCTTCAAATTATTTTCTCAAAGAGCTATATGTCTACCCACCCACGAGTATCATCTGTAAAACGAACTACTTTGCCCCTTCTGATCAGCATTATGTTCTTTTGTTTTTAAAACTCTTTGCCAGTTTTAGAAGTAAAAATTGTATCTCATGTTAGTTTATTGTTGACAATTGTTAGTCGTTTGGGTTTCTTTTTTGTGAGTTGTCCGAATAAGACAGTAACATGGTTAAATGTATGTGCATTCCTGTGAAAAGTATGAACCAGTAAATAATATTCTTCTAAGATATTTGTGACCCAAACAAGTTTCATTTCATTAGTAAAACCTTAATAAAGCAAAATGAGAAAGCAAGCCTCACCTTTCTTTAGAGACTTTGAGGAACTTTCTACTGCCTTGTTTCCTTCTTCTTCTTCCTCTTCTTCTTTTTCTTCTTCTCCTCCTCCTCTTTCATTTTCTTCTTCTCTTCGTCTTTCAGCCTCCCTCTCTTGAGACCTTATCAAAATATCCTCTACTTCCCTCTCTAGTTCTTTATTTCTTATGAGGGTATGATGAAGTTTCTCATTTACCTCCTCAAACTTCTCCTCTGCTTGTCTGGCTCTGCTTTCAAACTCTCTGATGTGGACAAAGGCCAGAGAAAACACAACAAAACAGAAAGGTTTGAAAAAGTATCTTTCATGAATAGGAACACATAATCTAGAAGAGGCAGTAGAATTAGATATGTCCATCCAAAACGTACAAAGGGAGGGAGGCAGCAGCATCAATCATTAACCCAGAACTGGGGTCCTGTAAGCTACTTGGATGGCGATATCAGAGTGGCAGTCATGCTGTGATTTAAGAATGCAACATATTGGGGCGCCTGGGTGGCGCAGTCGGTTAAGCGTCCGACTTCAGCCAGGTCACGATCTCGCGGTCCGTGAGTTCGAGCCCCGCGTCAGGCTCTGGGCTGATGGCTCAGAGCCTGGAGCCTGTTTCCGATTCTGTGTCTCCCTCTCTCTCTGCCCCTCCCCCGTTCATGCTCTGTCTCTCTCTGTCCCAAAAATAAATAAACGTTGAAAAAAAAAAAATAAAAAAAAAAAAAAGAATGCAACATATTTATGGGGCCCCTGGGTGGCTCAGTTGGTTAAGTGTCCGACTTCAGCTCAGGTCATGTTCTCATGGTCTGTGAGGTCGAGCCCTGCGTCAGGTTTTGTGCCGACAGCTCAGAGCCTGGAGCCTGCTTTGGATTCTGTGTCTCCCTCTCTCTCTGCCCCTCCCCTGCTCATGCTCTGTCTCTCTCTGTCTCTCAAAAAATAAAATAAAACTTAAAAAAAAAAGGATGCAACATACTTAAAATTTCTTAGTGAAATCTGACTTTGGGTATTTGGATTTCTCATCAATAGCCAAGGAACCCCTTTTTCAGTAGCTAATTTTGGCTCCTCTTCATTGATGTGATCCAACATACTAAATCAATAGTGTCCTTTCTTTTCCAGTACCTCTAAAACCAGATCTGACAATAAATAAAACCAATTTGAAACGTGCTTCTTAATTCCTAGAGTGCGTGTTATATGTCTACATGGTGTGCTCTTTTGGCACTCACAACCATCTTGACTATATCGCCCTTCCTACTCTTGGGGTTATGTAGCATTCTTTCTTGCAGAGTATTTCTCCCAGCTCCGTCTCTAGCTCATCTCTGAGAAACACACTGAATAGACCCTCCTAACACCCTATTCCCCACATACACACACGTTCCCTCCCTCCCTCTCCACCGTGGGCGAGGACAGATGCCCTGTGGAAGCAGTGTACTTCATTGCCATTAGCAGAAGACTTGGAGATACCCAACCAACTAGTGAGGATAAAGGAAGCAGAAGAAACACGGTAAGCCACGAAGTGTGGATTTCTCAGCTAAACCTCCTGGCCGGCAATCTTTGTTGTTACCATTGTGGAGCCTCATACTTACATCAGCTTCTCCTGTGTGCGTTCAATTATAGCCATTGCTTCAAGATACTTTGGGGCCAGTGTACCTTGACTAGCTGATTCTCTCTGACAAAGGAAATTAGCAGTATGAGTGAACTGAGAATCCCAACAGTTAATACTCTACTTCTTCAGAATGTTTTGGACTAAGCCTTCCAGAATATTTTTTTTCTACTATCCATATTTATATAGTAAATGATCAAGCAGTCTTAACACCAAAAAAGAACAGGGACTACCTATGGCCACGCAGCATACCAGCTCCCAAATTATTCATGCTACAGGTGGATATAAATCTGATTAGAACTGTGAAGAAGCAGGGAAAATAATATCAACAAAAAGAAACAAGGAAAGAAGAAAAGGTTTAAAAATAAAGAGAAGGCTGAATGTGTTTCTGTAATCAATCAAGTTGATGATCAAGGAAATTAACTATTTTTCTTAAGAATTTACTTCACCAAGCACATAACATTGCAACTTCCAATCAGATCTCTCAGGGCCTTAGGGAACTCAATAAATATCAAGGCAGTGAAAGTATGAAAAAAAAACCAGCCTCTTTCATTTATCTTGACTCTACATACATTCTGGGAAACAAGAGAAAGGTAAAAGAAGGTATTTAGAAAACAAAAATTATAAGCATATTTTAAAATAAGTATGACATTTTCCCAGAACCGTACATTTTAAAAATTGAAGAATAGTTGACACACGATGTTACATTACCTCCAGGTGTACCGCATGCTGGTTGGACGAATCTATACCTTATGCTGTGCTCACCGCAAGTGTAGCTTCCATCTGTTACCGTACGACGCTATTACTACGTCACTGGCTATATTCCCTGTGCTGTACCTCTCATCCCCGTGACTTATTCATTCCATAACTGGAAGCCTGTACCTCCCACTCCCCTTCGCCCCTTTTCGCCCACAACGGTGTTAAAAGTCTCATTTATCCATGTTTCCGAACCTGAGGCGCGTAAAAGGTAAGCCTCACATTATAGATGGAAAGGGAGCTCTGAGAGGGTAGGCAGCCTTCCATCCACACAGAAGGATCTACTGGGTTAAAGCAAAACCCTCATCTGGGCCTTTTCATTCTCACCCACACGGCCCATGGCACTATGCTAGCTTTTTCTAAAGGAAAACCAGAGAAAAACCACGTGAAACATTTTCACTGTAACCCCAGCTCTTTTACTCTCTTCTTATTGTCCCAGTCACCTACTCTTGTCTTTCTGCTTTGCTCCCCTTTCTTGGGTAGTTTGTTTGGAAAGTAAATGCTATCATTGTGCAGCCTGGACCAGAAGCATGTGACTTAGCTGTGGCCACACAGCACGTGCCACTAACTTATTTGTTCTGTGAGGCCAAAAGAAAGGTGTTCAGGGCGGAGGCTTCTAGAACTGGAATTCTTCACATGGTTTACAGCTCTACAGAACAACTTTGTAGGTAGAAACCAAAGTAAACCAGTACTGTGCTCTGCGCACACCGGAGCCTTCAGATGAGCATTCGTTCAACGGATACACAGTGGAGCCTTGAACTGCATAGGCTTGAACAGTGCATGCCCACTTTTACATGGATTTTTTTCACAGTCCAGTACTGTAAACGTCTTTCCTCTTCCTTATCATTTTCTTAATAACATTTGCTTTCCTCTAGCTTACTTCATTGTAAGGATACAGTACGTAATTCGTGTGACATACAAAATATGTGTTGACTGTCCGTGTTATCTGTGAGACTTCCAGTCAGCAGTAGGCTATTACTAGTTAAGTTTCTGGAGAGTCAAAAGTTACATATGGATTTTTGACTGTGCAGGGAGTCAGTGTCCCTAACCCCTGAGCTCTTCAAGAGTCCACCGTATATTTAGTTACAGTGTGCGAGGAAAATGTCCCTGTTTTGACACTGGCAAGTACAGATTAACGTTTTGTGGTCCATTTCAAATCCTTCCAGAGGAAATTCCTGTGGCATCCTCTATGTATGGCTGGTGGCAGCCTCCCCCGCATCACCCATATAACGATACTGACACCTCAAGGCTAATCACAGACATGGCTTTAGACCCTATTCTCCTACGCCTAGCCTTCCTCTGGCTTCTGTGGTCTGTCACTCTGTTTAAGAGAGACAAACACGGGCCTCGTGGCTCTTGGAAGTAATTGCATTGGACTTTCCTTATTTGTGCCGATCTGCTGTAGCTTTGCACTCAGTCTCTGACTCCAATTCTGTCTCTGGCCTTTTTGACTTGGTCTTCCTCAGGTTTGACTCCACTAATGGGCTTTGAATTGGACAATAGCTCTAGCCTGACACTATCTCAGGGAGGATCTTACTCCAGGCCTACTTCTTTGGGATCCAACTCCCAGCACTGACACAGCGCCGCAGCAGCTTTGGACATATTTTCTAGAACCACCAATCCAAGGGCCCTTCCCTGTTGCGGTTATAAAATACGTAAATTAGTCACTGCTCTGGAGTACGTGGTATTGTGAGAGGGAAACAGACTTCTAAGGGCCACCTTCAGGCCAATGACAGAAGGGCAGAATGTCTAATCTTATGTTAAAAATACTGCTGATCCCCCCAAATCTGGTGCCTGCTCATCTTTCTGCAGGAGTTCACAAGTGATCCAGCAAAATCTCCTATCATCCTCATACACTTATAACTCTTTATGGACACCCAGAACCTACGGTGTGAAGATGAGTCTGAAAGAGATCGTTTCCAATATCTTGTTTGTTGGGGTAGCTGAACTGTGGCCAACCCTACTCATGCGGTCAAGAGGAAGCACTGGGGGGCCAGGGTAGCTCTGAGCACTTTTGGTAGCCTTGGGGGAAGCTTGCCGGATTTAGTCATCCCACGTCTCCACCAGCCAGCTGAGATGTTACAGAATTCTGGCTGCCTGTCCTACAGGAACAATGTTGGAATGATTCTGATTCAGAAAGGGCCACAAGGGGTGCGTTGCAGCAAGTAACCAGAACTGACTGAATGGGGCTGCCTCCGAAAGCAGAGGAGCCTTCTCCCAGGAAGGACGGCAGCAAAGCCAGCACCGCCTACAGGGATCACTTGGTTCACCAGTCCATCAGGCACAGTGACAAATTAGATGTGCCTGTTTCAGACAGAGCTGGCCACATTATGCACACAGGGCCTGCTTTGAGTACAGTCCTCACGAATTTCCACAAAGCCCTAACTCCTGGCTAATTGAGGAGCGTTTGAATAGTGGACGGTCCAGCCCCATTGTGGTAGACGCTAGGGCATTGGGTAATGGTATGAATGAGGCCCTGGTTTACCAGGTCAAGCCATCCACCTCCCCAAGCTGGTGGTGACTTATCACCACCTCTGTTGAGATATCACTCATATCTCAACCCTCAGAAAATCCCACACTGGTGTCATCTGCAGGAGGGGATACTAAGAGTAACTGGAATTCTCCGTGCTTAGGTCACTAGCTTCCCAAGGGTCTGGCGCCATTTCTCACTAGAAACTTGGGGCTCCTCAATCTCTTGGAGCTCTCCAGTTTTACAACTCAACTCCCAGGGACATGACAAATTATACCTGCACACCACAGGCTTTCTGCTTCCCAATCCCTTCCTTTTTTCTTGCCTTCCCCAGGGTTAATCAAATGTACTGCCTCCTGGGAGTTGTGTTTTTAGACCAGCAAAAGAGTGCAGCTGCCTGTTAGGTCTGGTGCCTTGAACCTGTATCCCTACAAAATGGTTATTTATGTTCTTAGGACCAGAGACTGTCAAAAACTAATAATAATAATAATAAATAAAGGAAATAAACAAGCAGACAAAAGCAAAAGAAAAACTCACGATAGAAGATTTGAAACCTTAAAGCACCCTCAGGGAGCCCTAGTACTTTTGTAAGTGACAGGTACACGGAGCCCAGGCCCCACCTGTTCCACCTGGCCTGCAGCACAGTCCAAGATGGCGCTTCCCCCAGCTCCGCCTCCTGCCCCAAATCTCTGACCTCACAAGCCAGTTGAAGGAACCTTCATTCCCTGGGCACCCACAGCCCCAAATATCAACCTTGTCTCTGCTGGCCAAGCACAATTAGGTCTCTTCTGTTGGAGCACCTGGTGATCCCTTTCCGCCTGCGAGTGTTCCAGCCACCACCACATAGGATGAACGTGATTCTTCTTTACCTCCAGGAACTTGCAAATAATTATATACCCGGCTGGCATTTTGCTCCATTCCCCAGACCTTACAGTCAATGAGCACGTAAATGGTTCAATCTTCGGTGATCTATAGTAGCAGCATTAGCAACCTTCCAGAGCCTGGAGACAGACTTTCTGGGCCACATCATTGCAGATGAGCTAGCCACATGGCACTGCACCGTGTCAGATGGAAAGGTGGTATCCTGGAGCAGCAACCCCCCCCCCCCCCCCCCCCCCCCCCCCCCCCCCGCCCTCCCACCACCACCACCAAAGACAAGCTCTGTGCCCCTCAATTTTGCCCCAGGCTATAGGCTGTTTTCCTGCTTGGTTTGGGTATCTGGGAGACTTGACGCTGACTCCTAGCCTAGACAGCACAGCAGGGGAGACCATCTGAGGCAGGAAGGCCTTGGGTGGGATTGGTGGGGTTAGGAGATCAAACGGTGGTGCCCTTTCCGTATGTGTCTCACGGCACATGACTACTGACTGACTCTCCACGTGATTTCCCCCAGTTCTTCCTATAAGATTTGGAGCCTACTTCCCACAACCTCCCTGGACATATACCCCTGCAATCGGCCACACCTCTGCCTTATTCATCCAGCTGCTGCCCAGCCTGACCCTCACCACAGCCCCACTGCACCCACCTGCTCAGATGGACCAAACCTCTGACAGTGAAATGGTTCATTACTGTGGGGGTGAAACTGGATTCGATATATGGATTTCTGGCACCACCACCCCCCGCCAGGAAAATGCACAGTATAAACATACACACAAAACGCTACATACCATTTTGGGGGATTAATGGGATGAAGGCATGACATCCTGTACACAGAGACATGCCACTCTAGAACTGACTTACGTCTACCACGGTCCTAGAACTTTCTGTGGAGGAATCTTAAATCTATTTTCCTGGGGCGCCTGGGTGGCTCAGTTGACTAAGCATCCGACTTTGGCTCAGGTTATGATCTCATGGTTTGTGAGTGGGAGGCCCACGTTGGGCTCTGTGCTGACAGCTCAGAGCCTAGAGCCTGCTTTGAGTTCTGTATCTCTCTCTCTCTCTGCCCCTCCCCTGCTCATGCTCTCTCGTGCGCTCTCTCTCTCTCTCTCAAAACTGAATAAACATTAAAAAAAATTTTTTTAATCTATTTTCCTGCTGAGTTTCTAAAAATTTCCAGTTTCCCATTAATTCTTGTGGTTGGAAGTATATGGTGATCACAGTTCTCAATAGAATCTGCTGAATGAATATTCTAAAAAAAAAAAAGTAGGTCAAGTTTTGACCAAGATATTGTTAAATTAAGAAAGTCAATGAAATGCTCATTTTAAAATGAAGTTTAGGGGCACCTGGGTGGCTTAGTTGGTTAAGCATCCTACTTCGGCTCAGGTCATGATGTTACCGCTCATGGGTTCAAGCCCCACATCAATCTCACCACTGCTGTCAGCACAGAACCCGCTTCAGATCTTCTGTCCCCCTCTCTCTCTTCCCCTTCCTCACTTGTGCTCTATCTCTCAAAAATAGATAAATCTTTAAAAAAAAAAATCTTTAAACTGAGGTTTAAAGAAGAGAATGAGAAGTTTTTATAAAGTTAAGGTGAAAAACAAGAGTTTTCCAGGGATGATGCTGGGAGGAAAAAAAAACCCTGAAAAATATTTTATGTAGGAGCTCCTGGTCCTCTTGGAGCTAAAAGTTATGTCAGATCCATACCATTTTTACATACCGTTAAATTTCCTGGCTTTTGTCTCTAGTTTTGAATCTCCGATTTGGGTTTCAGATACCTACCCAGGAAAAGAATACATCTGTTTCAAATAGAGGTTTGGTATGAACGTTTTCATCTTTTTCAATTATTCGAATGAGTCTTTCCTCTTCTCTGGATGTTGAAGGCTTCTAGGGCACAGAAACACGAAGGTCCCTTTAGTGAGCTGGTATGGGACACAGTGACAGGGCAAGTTGCCTGGAGGAATGTCTGAAGCTTTAATTTTCCATTTGCTCTAGTCACTCAACGAGCATTTTGAAGACTTTAGAGCAAACACTGTGTGAGAAATTAGTGGGGACGGGGAAGCGGAGACCAGGGGAGAAAATGTGAGAAAAACAAAAAGAATTTCTTCCAGACCCCAAGAATTCATAGCACAGTGGGAGAGATGGCCCAGAAAATAATTATGGTATGCCAGATTACTGTTAGCAAAGAGGTGGGTTCCAAAAGCTGTGTGCATCCAGAAAAGAGCCCTGAACTCTGCCTAGACACTCAGGTAAGTTTTGAGAGAGAAAGTGATACCTGAAGGTTGAACAAAGTTTGTACCGTAGAGAGGAAAGAGCCAGGACTAAGGCCTCAGAGGTGGAGAGGAGGGAATGCATGATACAGTTAAAAGGTATGACGTTATTTAGTGGCCACATAACACTGTTTTCCATTTATTTTGTGTCTTCCATATGCCAAGGACTGTAGCAGAAATAAAACAGAAAATGCTGGTCCAAAGAAGCTTGGGTGTTGTTATCATATTTTTGTAGTGCCGTCCAGCATATACAGTGAGTAGAGGACCTAGGTCACAGCCTGGAGTCATACCAACATTTAAACTATTCACAGATGGGGCGCCTGGGTGGCGCAGTCGGTTGAGCCTCCGACTTCAGCCAGGTCACGATCTCGCACTCCGTGAGTTCGAGCCCCGCGTCAGGCTCTGGGCTGATGGCTCGGAGCCTGGAGCCTGTTTCTGATTCTGTGTCTCCCTCTCTCTCTGCCCCTCCCCCGTTCATGCTCTGTCTCTCTCTGTCCCAAAAATAAATAAACGTTGAAAAAAAAAAAAAATTTTAAACTATTCACAGAGAAGAAACATCAGGGAAGTAAGTTAAGACAGTACAGAGAATGTTAGGTGATCACGAGTTCTAAGAGCCAAAGACAATAGTCAATCCAGGAATCAGCAAAGGGCTCTTGCCAGACTAATCTGGGTTTGAATGCTGGTTCTGCCACTTACAGCTATCTGACTTAGGGTAGTCAGTCAACCTGAGTTTCAATTTTCTTATCTGTAAAACGGGACAATAATTTTTACCTTGAAGTTGTACTGTGTAGATAAGAGGTAACATGTACAGAACATGTAGCTCACAGTAGGCACTCAATTAGTGGCGGTTATCGCTGCATTTTCATCATTATTATAAGTGCCCCAGGAAGGGTTGTTATTACTACTAATGCCTCAGCAGGGGTGGGGACAGGGTAAGGAGAAGGAAGGTGTGGGCCTGGGAGGAGGGGAAAGGCAGCCCAGAACAGGAGCTGAAGAAGTGGACACATAGAGTTTACATTACTGTTTGAAAAATCTGGCAATGAAAGGATAAAGAAACAGCATCAGAGTGAAAGGCAGATAGTGTAGGAAATAGGAGGGCAGGTGTGAATGAGGCTGATGGGAAGCAGGTGGATTTTGAAAAGGAAAAGGACGTTCCTTCCGTGGAAAACAAAGAGCTAAGGGTGTCTGCGGGTATGGCTAAATCTACAAGAAGAAAGGACGCAACTTGATTTATGCCAGATGATCTATTTCTATTTTCACTAGTACCTCTAAACATATTCTTTAAAAACACAAAGGGAAAGAAATGATAATACTAAACATGTTACCTCTTCTTTCTCTTCTTCCTTTTCCTTCTCAAGTTTCTTATCCTCCATACTTTCTCCTCCATCTTCTCTAAAAAGCCTGTCTGTTTCAGGCTCAATTAATTCTTTTACAAAATCCTGTGAGATAAAACAATAGTATAATGATAGCTTAGTGTATATTAATAATTGAGTAGTATATACCAATTATTCATTCAAAAGTATTTAATGCGTACTAATCTTCCAACTGGATACTGTGCTGGGCATAAGGACAAAAAAGTGAATAAGAATGGCCTCTGTCCTTAAGAAGCTTACAATTTAGTGGACAAGAAAATGCTATGGATACATATAGTCACATGGTAGGAACACCTAATCCAGATCTGGTAGTGGATAGGGGTGAGAGGGTTGGTCAGGAAGGTTTCCTGGAGGACATAATGTCTGAGTTTCTTCTGGAAGGATGAGTAAGGGGAAAAGATAGTTAGCATGGGGTATTCTAGGCAGAGGATGCTGCATGGGCATGATTGGCTCCTGAGGGCAAAGTAGTTCAGTAGGACAGAAATTTAGGGGTAGATGGACAGGAGCACAATCATAGAGGAAGGGCTCGAGTGGCTTTTCAGGGAAACAATTTTATCCTGAAGGCAATGAGGTATTGATAAATTGGCTGATATGTTTTAATTTTAAAACAATCACTCTAGCAACATGAGAGTAGATTTAAAGAGAAAGAGGCGAGAGAGAGAGAGAGAGAGAGAGGAGTGAGGGAGGGAGGGAGAAAGAGAAAGAAGGAGAAAAGGTGAGAGTAGAGAATGAACAACACAGGGTTTCAGAAATGAAGAGGAGGGTAAGGATTCAAGAGGTTATTTAGGAGTTAACTCTTACTGCTTGAGTAATTCGATGGATATGGAATGGTTAGGGAATGGAAGCATCTTGAATGATACCTGATGTATGGTGTAGGCCACTACGTAGATGATAATACCGTTCACAGAGATAATGAACAAAGTTGCATAAGCAGGTATGGGAAGACAGATGAGTTCAGACTCAGCTATGTGACTTTGAGTTACCACTAAGATATCCAACTGGAAATATTCAGTAGGTTGTTAAATATACGGATCTAGAGTTTAGACGGAGGCATTTGGGCTAAAGATAATCATTTAACAATTATTTAATTGAATTTAGTTGAAGCCAAGAAGGTAAATTACATCCAAAGGAGACCTTGTGAAGTGTTAGGGGACGAGGCCTTAGGACAGGAACCTAGTCACATAAAGGGCTAGGGAAGAAAGACGAACCCCCAGAGAAGGCCAGAAGTCATGTCAGAAGTCTGAGAGGTCCACCAGGAAAGCCAAAAGAGGAGAAAGAAGGGGTCAACAGTGTCGAATACCTCAAAGAAGTCTACACAATGATCGACTGAAAAATGTCCTTCAGATGTTCACAGCAACGATGTGTAAAAAACAGAAGCTAGACATTTCTGTCTTATTTCACTTAGCATTATACCCTCTAGATCCATCTGTGTTGTTGCAAATGGCAAGATCTCATTCTTTTTTACGGCCGGGTAATATTCCTGTGTGTGTGTGTGTGTGTGTGTGTGTGTGTGTGTGTGTGTGTATCCACACGTGTATACATGAGTGTGTATTATCACATCATCTTTATCCATTCACTTATCGACAGACACCTGGGCTGCTTCCATAAGTTGTCTATAATAAATAATGCTGCAATAAACATAGGGGTGCATATATCTTTTTGAGTTAGTGTTTTCATATTCTTTGCTTAAATACCCAGTAGTAGGATTACTTGATCACATGTAGTCTGATTTTTAATTTTTTGAGGAACCTCCATACTGTTTTCCACAATGGCTGCACCAGTTTGTATTCCTACCAATAGTACATAAGGGTTCCTTTTTCTCCACATCCTCACCAATACTTCTTGTTTCTTGTGTGTTTGATTTTAGCCATTCTGACAAGTGTGAAGTGATATCTCATTGTGGTTTTGGTTTGCATTTCCCTGATGATGAGTGATGTTGAGCATCTTTTCAAGTATCTGTTGGCCATCTGAACGTCTTCTTTGGAGCAGAGTCTGTTCATGTCTTCTGCCCATTTGTTAATTGGATTATTTGGTTCTTTGGTATTGAGTCGTAGAGGTTCTTTATATATTTCAGATACTAACCCTTTATCAGAGCTGACATTTGCAAATATCTTTGCCCACTCGGTATTTCTCTTTTAGTTTTGTTAATTATTCCCTTTCGCTGTGTAGCTTTTTTCTTCTTTTTTATAGAGAGAGAGCAGGTGAGCAGTGGAAGGGGCAGAGCAGGAGATGGAGAGAATCCTCAGTAGGCTCCAGGCTCACTGTGAAGCCGAATGCAGGACTCAGTCCCACAACCCCAGGATTCATGACCTGAGCCAAAATGAAGAGTTGGACGCTCAACCGACTACGGCACCCAGGGGCCCTGCTGCACAGAAGCTTTTTATTTTGAAGTAGTTCCAATAGTTTATTTTTGCTTTTGTTTCCCTTGCCTTAGGAGATGTATCCAGGAAAACACTGCTATGGCCGATGCTGGAGAAATTATCTTATGTGCTCTCTGCTAGGAGTTTTATGGTTTCAGGTCTCATATTAGGTCTTTAATCCATTGTGAATTTATTTTTGTGTATGGTGCAAGAAAGTGGTCCAATTTCATTTTGCATGTTGCTGTCCAGTTTGTAATTAACATTCTTATACAGATATATCATATATTAGAATTATCAAACAGACTACAAAGTTATATTAACCTGTCTAAAGAAATAAAAGATTGAAAATATGAATAAAGAGACAAAGGTTACAAAAATGATCAGACTCGAAAAAGAACCAAATAGAACTTTAACAATTAAATTTAAAAACTGAACAGAGCTCTTTCTCGACTCCATCTTCGTGGTCGCGGCTGCGGTGGCCGTCGTCCAGTGGCCGACATGCAGCTTTTTGTCCGTGCCCAGGAGCTACACACCCTCGAGGTGATCGCCCAGGAGACAGTCGCCCAGATCAAGGTTCGTGTAGCCTCTCTGGAGGGCGTCGCTCCAGAAGATCAAGTCGTGCTGCTGGCAGGCACGCCCCTAGAGGATGAGGCTACCCTGGGTCAGTGTGGAGAAGAGGCTCTGACCACCCTGGAAGTAGCTTGCCGCAGGCTTGAAGGTAAAGTCCATGGTTCCCTGACCTGTGCTGGGAAAGTAAGAGGGCAGACTCCTAAGGTGGCCAAACGAAGGAGAAGGAGAAGGAGAAGGAGAAGGAGGAGGAGGAGGAGGAGGAGGAGGAGGAGGAGGAGGAGGAGAAGGAGGAGAAGGAGGAGAAGGAGGAGAAGGAGGAGAAGGAGGAGAAGGAGGAGAAGGAGGAGAAGGAGGAGAAGGAGGAGAAGGAGGAGAAGGAGGAGAAGGAGGAGAAGGAGGAGAAGGAGAAGGAGAAGAAGACAGGCCAAGCCAAGTGGTGGATACTATACAACTGGCACTTTGTCAACGTTGTGCCCACCTTTGGAAAGAAGAAGGGCCCCAATGCCAACTCTTACGTCTGACGTAATCCTGGCTTTCCCCAATAAAGCCACTTAGTCCAGTCAAAAAAAATAGAAAATAAAATAAAATAAAAACTGAACACAAAGGTTTAATAGAAGATTAGTGAACAGGAAGGTAAACCAGATGAAATTATTCAGGATGCAGCGCAGACACAGAGAGATAGAAAATACGAAATAAGGTTCAAAGACATGCGCATAGGTTCTAATACATATCCATTCAGCCAGAAAGAAAGGAGAGAGCAAATATAGTAGAGACAATATTTGAAGAGACAAAAACAGAATTTTCCACATCTAATTCAAGATACCAACTCAAAGATTCAGGAAACCAAGAGAATTAACAGCAAAATTTAAAAAGAAAAGGAACTCCACATTCATAACGTATCAGAGTGAAACTGCAAAATGCCAAAGATAAAAAGATCTTCAAAGCAGCCAGAGAGAAGAGAGGGTTAACTTCAAAGAAACTGACAGCTGAATTCTCAACTGTCACTTTGGTAACAATAAAATCCAGAAAACAGTAGAAACAGTGTCATCAATGGGCTAAGAGAAAATAATACCATCCTAGAATTGTATGCCCAGCAAAAAAAATTTTAAGAATGTGAGTGAAATAAGGACATTTTTAGACAAACAAAAATTAAGTTTGCCTCCAGTAAATCCTCACTAAAGAAAAATGTAAAGGTCAAGGCAGAAAGAAAATGATCTCAGGCAGAAGATCTGGGATGTATGAAGGAACAATAAAGAAATTAAAGGGGCGACTGGGTGGCACAGTCAGCTGGGTATCCGATTCGGCTCAGATCATGGTCTTGCGGTCCGTGAGTTCAAGCCCCGTGTTGGGCTCTGTGCTGACAACTCAGAGCCTGGAGCCTGCTTCAGATTCCATGCCTCCCTCTTTCTTTCTGCCCCTTCCCTGCTTGTACTCTCTCTATCCAAAAAAAAAAAAAAAAATTTTAATTTTTTTAAAAAGAAGAGGATGCTTACTATTGCTACCACTATTTAACACCTAATTGGAAGAATTACCCATTGAAATCAGACAAGAAAAAGCGATTAGAGCCATAATAATTGAAAGAAAGAGGTCAAATAATCTCTATTTGTAGATGATTTGATTAAGTATCTGGAGAACCCAAAAGAATCTATTGAAAACTACTGAAAACAATAAGATAATTCAATAAAGTCACAGAATATAAAATTAAAATACATATATCAGTAACATACACACAGTTCTCAATTATAAGATACAATGGAAAAGAAGATCCCATTTAAAATAGCAGTAAAATAAAATAGTCAGACATAAACCTCACAAGAAATGCACAAAATGAGTAAACCATAAAACATCATTAAAAAGCATTAAAAGTAGACATCCTGTATCCCCCATTTTTGGATACGACAACCCAACAACATAAGTATCTCTGCTCTAAGTTAATATATAAATTTAGAATGATCCCAGTTTTCAAAATTCCTATTTTTTCTAGAGGTAGATGATAGAGTTCTATAGAAGAATAAATAAGCAAAAATGGTGAAACCCTGAAGCCCATGAAAAAGATCGGTGAGGAGAGCTGACCCTACCAGATATGAAAATGCACCATAACGCCTCAAAAATTAAAATATTGTGGTGATGACCCATGAACAGATAAATAGAAAATAAATTCCAGAAACAGACTTAGGTTGAATATTGCTCTTTTCAAATGTTAGAAAACACTACAACATGGAATATTAGAAACAGTACAATGTGGAAGAGAAATCCACCTTGTTCACATCAACCCAAAAGGCTGAACAGGGCCAGTGAGCAGAAAAAGTTACAAGGAAATGTATTTCATCTAGTTCAATAGAAAGAATAACATTCTACTAGTGAGTGCTCACCAAAACAAATGGCTAATTCTGAAAGTAGGTCTCTGCCGCTGCAGATGCTCAAACATAGGCATAGATCAAGGATGGGTGGTAATGCAAAGTTTCACACATCTGATGTTAGGCTGAATTCAATCACCTTTAAAATCCTTTCTGTTCCCTATGATTGTGCAGAGCTCTTGAATTTAATTTTTTCATAGATCTGTTGCGTAGCCAAGATCACGTCTGTGTTACTTAATTTTCTGAAATCATTCAGTGGCTAATTCAAAATAATTCTGGCCAAGATCTGGGCAGCAAAGAAAAATAAGCATTTGTAAAAGGTGTATAATTTAGAAAGGTGGTGTTTCTTTGGTGTTTCAATATAAAACGCAAGTCCCACAGGGCGCCTGGGTGGCTCCATCCGTTGAGTGTCTGACTTCGGCTCAGGTTATGATCTCAAAGTTCGTGAGTTGGAGCCCCGCACTGGGCTCTCCGCTGTCAGCACAGAGTCTGCTTCAGATCCTCTGTACTCCCCTCTCGCTGCCCCTCCAGCACTTGCCTACATGCTCTCTCTCTCTCTCTCTCAAAAAAAAATAAACTTAGAGGCGCCTGGGTGGCTCAGTCAGTTAAGCGTCCGACTTTGGCTCAGGTCATGATATCTCACTCTGTGAGTTCGAGCCCCGCATCGGGCTCTGTGCTGACAGCTCAGAGCCTGGAACCTGTTTCAGATTCTGTGTCTCCCTCTCTCTCTCTCACCCTCCCCTGTTCATGCTCTGTCTCTCTCTGTCTCAAAAATAAATTTAAAAAACATTAAAAAAATTGAAAAAACTGTCTAAAAAAATAAAATAAAATAAAATAAAAAAATAAATAAACTTAAAAAAATTTTTTAAGACACAAAAGAGAGAGGCCAATGGGCTGGGTTAGGTGCTCAAGAGAAGAAATAACCTTAAATGGAAGACAGAGCCTGAAGGGGATGAGGCAGTGTGCACGCAAAAGCAGACCAGTCTGAGGACCTGCCTCAGGATGTGACAGGCAGCTCCCCTCTGAAAGCCATCCTTCCTTTTATGAAGGATAAAGCAAAATCATCCGCTAAGAAAGTGAGGAGAGATACTTAGGTGGATGATTTTCTCCCTTAGAAGGGAGAAGAACTACTAATGCTCTTGGTCAGGGACCAAATTCTCTTCCGGTAAATAAGTGAGGACTCAGAACACTGATAGGAAAAAGTCACTGAAACCTTATCTATTGCAATACAGGACGAGGCTGAATAATGATCAATGCCAACACATGGCAAATACCTCTTCTCCAAACAGGTACTCCTTTTCTTCCGGTGTCAGTAACTTTATTATTCTGCCTTTAAGCCCAGAAAGGAGGTGAGAACATGTGGTGATCCACTCATGACATTCTCTCTGAGAAGAGATCAAAGATAATTACTAAGCAGAAAAAATCAGACTGTAACAACTCATTTATTCACTCCTTCTATCGAGGAGCTGTTAAGTACAACTCTAAATACAACTCCATTCAATTAACTTTTTATCACTTCAGTTCAAAGATTTGTGCAGAAATGAGTCTCTATGAACACAGACCTGAAATCATACCATCTCTTATCAACAGGATTTTGGGATCTGGGTTGTAATGGGGCAAGGAGCTGTGCTGTGCCATAAAACCAGATGCAGAAAGGCTGCTGCATTTACTACAGGCAAATGGTCTGTCCCAACAAATGTTTCGCAGCTGACCAGGTCAACTGTGATTGCATAGCAATAACAATAGAAATAGCCCACATTTAATTGGCTTTAATTATAGGCCAGACTCTGTTCTAAGCATGTGCAATATTAATTCATTCAGTATGTAATATGTGCTATTATTTTTTATGAGGTATAATTGAAATAACATTACACTGGGAACAAACTGATGGTTACCAGAGTGGAAGTGGGTGGGGGGATGGGTGAAATAAGCGATAAGGATTAAGGAGGGCACTTGTGATGCAGGGAATTGTTGAGTCACTATATTGTATACTTGAAACTAATATAATACTGTAATGTTAACTGCAATTTAATTAAAAACGTAATTAATTTAAAAAATTAAAATTTTAAAAAATGGATTAACCCCAAAACAAATGCACACACAAAAAATAACATTATACTCGTTTCAGGTGAACAACCTGATGAGTCAATATTTGCGTATATTGCAACATGATCACCACAATAAGCCTAGTTAATATCTGTCACCATACATAGTTACAAATTTTTTTCTTGTGAGAACAGAAATATGTACCATTATTCTTCTCATTTTTTTGATGTAGAAACTGAAGGACAGAGCAATTGATCATCTTGCTCAAGGTCTATATATAGTTAAGCAAAGCACTTGGATTTTAATCCAGGCGGCTTGATCAATCTTGAAAAAGAAGAACAAATTTGAAGGATACACACTACTGGATTTCAAAACTTCTTCTATGACCATAGTAATCAAGACCGCTTGATAATGGTGACAATGTCAACAAACAGATCAAGAGAACACAACAGAATGTCTAGAACAATATCCACTATGGATGACAGACCATGGTGAGTATTGGTGAGGAAGTGGCCAGGGGGAACATTCATATACTGCTGGCGGGAGTGTAAAATGGTTTAACCACATTGGAGGATAATTTGACAGTTCTTAAAACGTTCAACACATACATACCATGTGACTTAGACATTCCATTCCTAGATATCTGCTCAAGAGAAATGAAAGAGATGCATATATACATGAATATGCATTAAAGCTTTGTAATAACCCAAACTGCACTTGATCTTAGCCAAAAGGCCGAGAAGCGATGTAATAACCCAAACTGGCATTCAAATGCCCATCAACAGAGAATGGATAAATTGTGTATATCCATATAATGAAATACTACTCAGCACTAAAAAGCATGCAATTTTAATAAAAGCAACAATATGTGTGATTCTCAAAATAATTATGCCAAGTAACGAAGTCAGATCAAAAAAGTACACATTCTGAATGAGTCTATTTATATATTCTAGACAATAAAAATAATCTTTGGTGTTAGAAAATGGATCAGACCTTGCATGGGGGCAGGATGACGCTGGAAGGAGAGATTACAAAGGGGTATAAGGAAACTTTGAATGTGTTAGATATTTTCCTTTTTTTTAAATAATAATCATTTTATGGGTGTATCCATAATTTAGAAATTACCAGACTGTACACCTTAAATACGTGTAGTTTGTTGTAATACAAGTCAACCTACGAAGTCTGCTAAAACAAACAAACAAAACAAAAGGGGAAGATAGTGTTACCTTCATCTCATTCAGTTCATGAAGATCCTTAGTAGGATTTTTTTCTAAGTGACCTGCTTTATTCAGAGCCATAGCTGTTACCATCCCTTTGCAACAACTGGAAAAAATAAAATAAAATAAATAAAAGCACACACACACACACACACACACACACACACACACACACACACACAGCATGACCTATTTATTATTGGTTCCTCTTCTAAGTGTTTTAAATTCAGATACCATGGAAGTTTACCATAATAATTAAACTATTGACTCACGAAGGAAAATAATCTGTCTCTCAAGTTTCTCACCCTTGTCCTGTTCCTCCTCTTCATTCTTCTCACTCTTGACCATGGGTAACATTGAATGAAAATAAAAGCTACTTCCTGAATTGGAAGCAATTGTACTAACATATGCTTCCTAGTTAAAAAATTACAATTTTTCAGACTTTATCTGTATTTGATAAGAATCTTCTAGCTTTTCAGATATAGGGGTTTTTTCATTTGGGTTTTCTTTTTTTAAGAGACGTTTCAGTTGGTGTTTGGTGAAACTAAATAGATTTAGTGAATATAAGTGTACGTTCAGTTTTGCATGGGATTACATAGGGAATTACAAGCTTCTTCAAAAATCACCCCCCCCCCCCCCCCCCGCCCCCGCAGTGTGTGCAAACATGCAAGATGTATCTTATTAATGCAAACAAGCGGGCCTTTTTGGTTTGATTTGGTTTTCTTTTTACTAATTCTCCCGTATAAGTATACACTTCCCAACTTGCCTATGGTAACACTGTGTTCAAAAGAATTCTAAAGCCAATGGGAAAACACTAAAATCACATATTTCAACCGGGCAGTGTTGAAGCTGGTTTAAAAACTGAACTAATATTTCTTTCAAGGTTTGAAAACAATCCCTGATTGCTGCTACCTCACCGCCCTTATCACCTCTGCTTTATGTCACATTTAATCTTCAAAAGGACAATAATAAAATAATCAGATAGTTTCACCTGTTCAAATAGCTGGAGTATTGCGACAACTTTCTGGCCAGTGCGATTGCATCCAGCTCTAACTTTGCAACTCTTACATCATGTTTCTCAGCACTTTCCTTTTCCAACTTTGGGAGAGTGTCTTGGTCAGTAAAGTCAGGCACCATTAAAATCAGCAAGCTTACCATCCACTGGATCATAGATATATGCAACTCATCCATCTGTTAAAACATGATTATAACATAAATGACTTATTTTAAATAAATCAAACAGTAAAAACCATACCAAATTTAAAAATAGGAAGCATACCTGTGTCTAACTTGCAACAACACTACCATTTTTTTTTTTTTTGAGGGGGGTAGGGACAGAGGGAGAGGAACAGAGAGAGAATCCGAAATAGCCTCCACACCCAGCACAGAGACCAAAACAGGGCGCTCGATCTCATGACCTTGAGATCATGACCTGAGGGGAAACCAAGAGTTTCCCGGAAGTTCAAATGACTGAGTCACCCAGGTGCTCCAACAACACTATCATTCTTTTTTTTTTTTTAACATAATTTATTGTCAAATTGGCTAACATACAGTATGTAAAGTGTGCTCTTGGTTTTGGGGGTAGATTCCCATGGTTCACCACTTACATACAACACCCAGTGCTCATCCCAACAAGTGCCTTCCTCAATGCCCATCACCCATTCTCCCCGACTCCCCCATCCACCCTCAGTTTGTTCTCTGTATTTAAGAGTCTCTTACGGTTTGCCTCCCTCTCTCTGTGTTTGTAACTATTTTTTTCCCCTTCCTTCCCCCATGGTCTTCTGTTAAGTTTCTCAAGATCCACATATGAACACTACCATTCTTAATGAAATCAAATCATCACTACTCAGCTAGAATAACCTTGTTTTCTTTCGCTCATTATACTACATTAAACTACCCTCTTCCTCTTTAGTTTGGTCAAGGGTATTAACCCATTAAAGCTGCAGTTCCCCAATTGTGCACTAAGACATTGCAGAGCTCTGAAGTAAATTCTCAAGGATGTCATGGGGTTTTAAATTCTTGAGGGAAATAACAGTGATGTGTGACACCTATCAGCACAGCATGAACTTGACATAGTTCACAGTTTCAACACTGGATGCACTCTATCACTTTTGATGACATCTTTCCTTGGCAAAGCTGGTTTTATTGGTGGTTGTGTGGTTAAAAAAAAAAAAAAAGTACTTTGGGAAAATCGAGGTTCAACAAGAAATGAGGGTGGCACCGTCCCATCAGGTTTCAAGGTTAGAGAAGTTGTCCAGTAGTTAAGTGCATACATTGTATTAGTAAATAATGTTGATTAAATGAGAATAAAAGGGTTTCTTTTTCTTTCAACATATGTATATCTAAAAAGTTAAAGTAAGACATTAAATTTTGCAAAGCTTATTTGAGCAAGCAATTGGAATCAGGCCGTGTCAAAACCAAAAAATGGTCAGGGGCATTCTGCAGGCAGGGGCCAGGAAAAAGATTTTTATAGAGAAGACACTGAAGCAAAGCAATGCAATTATTTAATTGACTGTAACTCAAATGTTGCCTTATTTGGGAAATTTAGTTATTTGGCTCTTGTGACAGATGTTCCTGAGTTCCATTTTTTCATATTCAAGAAAATCTAGTTGCCTGTTTATGATCAGTCCTTGAGTTTTGTTTTCTTAGATTCAAGTGTACTGACTCTGGCTTTGGTTTGTTTATAGAGGCTACCAAAGGGACCAGAGCTACCCCAGTATAATGGCTTCCTTGTTTAACTATTTTCACACGTATTGCTTTTCCAAACAGTTACTAAGTTATTAGGACACAAATATTTAGTAAGTTGTTCGAAACTATCTACTTAATAAACTGAACTGTGAGGGGTTTCTTTTGGTTTAGGAGTGCGAGAACACTGAGGCACAGGCAGCAGTGGGAACCAGTCAAGTTTTGGAAGTTCTGCATTATGGTGTTTGCTGAGGCTGGGTCCCAGACATAAAATGTAGAAAACATCATGAAATGCAAATGTCAAACATGCCATACCCTTCAAATGCCCTATCCCCATTCTCTGTTTGATGAGTCCCTAAGTATTCTTCCAGGCTTACACATGACCTACTCTGAGAAGTCTTTTTAACTTCCACTGGCTTTAACTTGATCCTTTCCCCACGTTTCTATACTGTTCTGTACACATGTCTATTAGAACTGTTTGCACATCTGTCACCTCAATTAGCCTATGCGTCTCTTTAAGACATGGGCCATCATTTTATCCCTCAAAACCACACATAGTACTTGACAGAGAATTAAGTACTTAATAAATGTTGTTAAATGGACAAATAAAAATCAAACTTGGGAGCCTAGCTGGTACTAAAACCCAAGCTTCCCACCTCGGAAGGAAAGGTTGTTAATGACCTAAAGGAATGTTGATGAACGTGTTTTTATAACTTAATTAACACATCAGGAAAAGGGCAACTCTTCCTGACTTGTGATTTCACAAGTTAAAGATATTTCCCCCCACATTCACAAGCTATACCCCTGCTGCTTCTCAAAGTAAATAAATTCCTAACTGTTCTTTCCTATATCAATGGCCTGGATTTATACCCTCATTCAAATAACTAATTTTTGCTTACATAAAATATTAATTGATCCTTGAACTATACCTAACAAACGAACAGAAACATTATTAACTTCATTTCAAAGTTGTATTGTAGAGATTAAATGGTAGAATCTAGGGCATGCTGAATTTAGGTTCATAGCTGAATTTAAAATTAGAATCAGGGGCGCCTGGGTGGCTCAGTTGGTTAAGCGTTGGGACTCTTGACTTCAGCTCAGGTCATGATCCCACGGTTGTGGGATCCACACTCAGCATGAAACCTGCTTAAGATTCTCTGTCTCTATCTCTTTCTCTGTTTCTGTCTCTCTCTCTCCCCTGCACACTCTCTCAAGAAGAAAAATAAAGTAAAATAAAATTTAAAAATAAATATCCATACAAATCATTTGAGTAATTACATCACATAAGTTCCCATTTTGCCCTCCCAACCTCCTGCTCCAATTGGATAGTTATGACCTAGTTTTTCTTTTAAGAAAACTCCCAGCCAAGGCAAAATATAATTTCACAAACCCCTACAAGTACATACCTGGTGCTGAAGTTCAATGTTACCATTGTTAATCTCATTGCCTATCTTCAAAAGCCATTGTTGAATCCTGTTAAATATTTGTGCTTGAAGCACCCTTAAGGAAAAGTCAAACAAAATAAAGATAAGTGACTCACATAGAGTATAAAAGTTAAACTATCAGCTAAAAGAAAGGGTTTTACTTCACCGGACCTAATAAACTCAGGTGTTGCCAATTGTTTGAGAATTCAGGAAAGGTGAATCAAAACCTTAAATCACCTGGTATAATGGCTTATTCATTGTCATCGCCTTCCTAACCCCATGCAGGTAGCAACTGGCATGATGCTCTTGGGACAACGTAGATCTTACCTTCAGTGCTAACTCTCTACTGTAGAAACTCACACTCCTACCCTTTACATTCACTTCTAGGCAGTGAGATCACAAAGTGAGAAAAATGAATTTTAAAATTCTCAAGAGATCAGTTTCCAATATGACAGTGTGAGGAGCAAAGCTGATCCACTCTTTAGTGAATCTAGGTGAGAACTGTTAGAAAAACACAACAAAACCAAACGACTGAAAGCCTCTGGAACAAACAGCAACCGCAGAAACATGTGGTCAAGACAATCTGTGAAAATTCAATAAGAAAGGCAAGGAGAGTCTACGGTATTTGGAACAAGACTCTTCTCTCTCTTTCCCCTCGGTGCTCAGTGAGGCAGACACTCCACTCCAGACTGCTGGAGTTATGGACACAGAGCTCCCTCATCTTCCAGTTCCCAGTTGAGGGCTTTTTTCCTGGAAGGGAAAGGACATCCAAGGTTTCTCCTCGGACCCCCACCCCCACCCCTTGCCTGTCGCTGAGGCTAGGTACTGGGAAAATGCAGTGGAGAAGTGGGGATTCCCTTCTGTCCAGTAGAAAGCTATGGGAACTTACGAGCCAGAATCCGTGTCTATATACGGAGGGATGGTACCAACAATGTTTAATGAGGCATCCAACTGAGATATTATTTCATTAATTTTTTCATTAAGTTCCTCGTATTCTTTAAGATGCATTTCAGGAAACTCCAGGACACTTTCCATCTTGAAAGAACAGAATTCAAGAGAACTAATCAAACTTGAAAGAATTTTAGAGATACCTAGAAAAGTGAGAAAAGTAATAACTTTTAAAAGTAGTCATAAGTCTGCCATTTTAATACTAAATTATAAAATGCCAATAAATAATAAATTATATTGTAATATAACGGATGGAACTAGAATGTATTAGGCTAAGTGAAATAAGCCACTCAGAAAAAGATAAATCTTTTATTATTTCACTCATATATGGAATTTAAGATACAAAACAGATGAACATAAGGGAAGGTAAGCAAAAATAATATAAAAAACAGAGAGGGAGGGGCGCCTGGGTGGCTCAGTCGGTTGAGCGTCCGACTTCGGCTCAGGTCATGATCTCACAGTCTGTGAGTTCGAGCCCCGCATTGGGCTCCATGCTGACAGCTCAGAGCCTGGAGCCTGTTTCGGATTCTGTGTCTCCCTCTCTCTCTGACCCTCCCTCATTCATGCTCTGTCTCTCTCTGTCTCAAAAATAAATAAACATTAATAAAAAAGAAAAAACAGAGAGGGAGACAAACCATAAGAGACTCTTAAATACAGAGAACAAACTGAAAGTTGCTAGTGGGGTGTTGGGTGGAGGGGGAGGAAGGGCTAAAGGGATGAGAGGCATTGAGGAAAACACTTGTTGCGATGAGCACTGGGTGTTATATGTAAGTGATAAAGCACTAAATTCTATTCCTGAAAACAAAACAAAAACATAAAATAAATAAGTTAATATCTGTTCTTTTGACCACTCCTAAAAAAGAAGAAAGAAGAAAGAAGAAAGAAGAAAGAAGAAAGAAGAAAGAAAGAAGAAAGAAGAAAGAAGAAGAAGGAGGAGGAGGAGGAGGATGAGGAGGAGGAGGGGGAGGGGGAGGAGAAGAGGAAGTGCAAAACATTTTCAGAATTGTAGAAAACACTGTTAAAAGAAACTAAAGATCCAAATAATTGGAAAAAACATCCCATGTTCATGGATTGGAAGATTTCACATTGTTAAAATGTCAAACCTGCCCAAACGGATCCATAGATGTAATAAAATCCCTATCAGAATCCAAGCATATCCTCTCCTTATAGAAATTAATAAGCTGTTTCTAAAATTCAGATGGAATTGGAAGTGACTCAAAATGGCCAAAACAATCATAAAACACATAAAGTAGGACTCCTCACACTTATCAATTTTAAAACTTACTACAAAGCAAGAGTAATTAACATAGTTTGATACTGACACAATGACAGACATATACATCAATGGAAAAGAATTGGGAGTCCAGAAATAAACCACTACCATCAACTAATTTTTGACAAGGGTGTCAAGGCCTTTAAATGTGGGAAATGCCTTTCTAAAAAATGGTAGTGGGATAATTAGATATTCACACGCAAGAGAATGAAGTTAGACCTTTACCTCACACAATATACAAAAATTACTCGAAATGGTCAAATACCATAACATAAGAGCAAAAATCGTAAAACTCTTAGAATACATAAGGATAAACTTCATGACTTTAAATTTGGAAGAGGATTCACAGACATGGCCCTGGAAGCACAAACAAAAAAGAAAAGAAAAAAAGATAAATTGAACTTCATCAAAATTAAAAATTTTTGCACTGCAAAGGACACCATCAAAAAAATGAAAAAAACATCCCATAGAATCATAGAAAATACTTACAATTCATATATCTGAAAAAGCTTTTGTACCTATAAAGAACTCTTACAACTCAATAACAGAAAAACAAATAACCCAATTAAAACATGGACAAAGGATCTGTCTGAATAGACAGTTCTCCAAAGAAGAAACATAAATGGTTAATAAGCCTTAAAAAATACCAACGTCAGTAATCATCAGAAAAACATAACTCAAAACCACAATGAGATACTATTACACATTCACTAGTATGGCTAGAATCAAAAAGTCAGATAACGATGGCAAGGATGTGGAGAAACTAGAGCCTTCATATACTGGGGATGGGCATATAAAACGATCCAGCGTCTTTGAAAACAGTGTGACAGTTCTCAAAAACTTAAAGATAGAGTTACTAGTTGACCAACAACTTTACTCCTAGATATATACCTAAGAGAAATGAAAACTATTTCCACACAGAAATGTGTAAACAAAATTTTTTATCAGCATTATTCATAATAGCCAAAAAGTAGAAACAACCCAAATGTCCATCAATGTATGAAATGATACACAAGGGGCACCTGGGTGGCTCAGTTGGTTAAGTGTCCAACTTCAGCTCAGGTCATGATCTTGTGGTTTGTGAGTTCAAGCCCCACATCAGGATCTCTGCTATCAATGCAGAGCTTGCTTCAGATTCCCTGTCCCCCTCTGTCTGCTCCTCCCCCACTTGTGTGTACACTCTCTCTCTCTCTCTCTCTCTCTCTCTCTCTCAAAAATAAACATTAAAAAAAGAAACTATATATAAAAAAGAAATGATATACAAAATGTGATATACACATACAATGGAATGTATTCATTATAAAAATGAATAAAGTACTGACACATGCTAAAACATAGGTAAACCTTTAAAACATTACGCTAAATGAAAGAAGTCAGTTACAAAACATCACGTACTGTATGACCCCATTCATACGAAAGTCCAGAATAGAGAAATCCACAGAGACAGAAAATCAGGGATGGGAGGACAAAAGAGCAAGAGCTAAAGGGTACAGGGTTTCTTTTGAGAAAAATATTCTATAATTGACTGTGGTAATCGTGGCTCACATCTGTGAATGTAGTAAAAATCACTGAATTGTATACTTTAAACAGGGAGTTGCATTGCATATGAATTACATCTCAATAAAGCAGTGCTCAGTGCTTTCTTTTGCTTAATTTTTAAAACCATGTGTATGTATTATTTTGATTTTAAATATGTATTATAAATATAATCACTATTATTTAGATTTTTAAATAGTAATTGTAATACAAATAATAATTATTATCAAAATGCTTTATAATGTCATAATGTCAAGCATTGTATCATTTTTTCTTACCATTATCCCCATTTATTCTTATTTCAAATTCTTTGTAGAGTCTTCCAATGGTTTTCACAATTTCCTTCATGTGCTGTTGCTCTGGTGGCAGCTCCCCCTCCATACTTTTATGGCGACCAAATATCCCAAACCCAATATCTGTCCAGTTTTCCTGTAAATGTTTAATAATCTTGAGAGAATCATATTTTGACACCAGACAATCTCCAGTAAACTTTTCTTTATCTTCATTCAGCATCTAGAGAATGAGAGAGGGTAAGGAAATTAGACTATTATTCCCTAATGATTTCATCAAAGTCTACCCAGATCTTTAATTCCCAGCATCTACCAATTATTTTGGAGTTACATATCCTATTACTATCTGTTCATACCATTTTTTCATATGACATAGCTTCATTTTCAAAATTAAGTGAATTTAAATTAATTATAACACCCCATAAGATAACCCATAGCTTACCAAAATGAAAATAATTAAGTCCTATTTGAGTAAAAACGAATGACAGGCAAAGAAGGACCAGGGAGCTGAGCATGTTTAATTACTATGTGCTTTGGTGAGGATATAATATACCTGTTTACGTGATCCCCATTAGACTGGGAAAGTTGCTAGAATGTATCTGTTGCGTTCTATTTGTCTAACCCCAAGTCCAAAGCCTATAAAAGTGCAATTTACATATTTGTGACTCAGAAAATGCAAACAAATCACCCATGCTTCAAAAAGAGGAATTAGTACAAAGAAGCAATGTAGCAGAGCAATTAAGGGCAAGGATTTGGGAGCTAGAGAGACCTGGACTGGTCTGACTCTGCCAGTTACCATTTATAGACAACTTCAGTAAATTACTTAACATCTCTAAATTTCACTTCCGCATCTGGCACAGGGATTATAAAACCTGTATCCCTTGTGTGACATGAAGCGTACGTGTGGTAATGTATGGAAAGTACCTTCAGCCTGACAAAGTGCTTAATGAATGAGAATTATTATTCCTACTAAATAAAGCAGCATGATTTTTTTTCAATCTTACCTATTCAATGTCAAAATTGCCAGATAAACAGTAAAGTCACTAAACTAGCTATATGATAAATAGGACAAAAAACATCCTCAATTTTGAGAATATTCTGCTCTAGTCATTCCATAAGACAAGAAAACGGCTTCCTGGGATCTGGATGAGACTTCTTCAGGCCATGAGTCTCACATTCACTTTGGAGTATTTCAATATCTTATATATTTTCCTTTGTCAGACTGCTAGGACATAACAGTAGTTTGATTAATGAAATCTATTTTCAAAGCTCAAACTCTTTTAAAAAGATGTTACTGGGGCCCCAGTGGTTCAGTCGGTTGGGCAACTGACTCTTAATATGGGCTCAGGTCACATTCTCACAGTTTGTGAGTTCAAGCCCCGTGTCAGGCTCTGTGTTGATGGCTTGAAGCCTACTTGGGATTCTCTCTCTCCCTCTCTCTCTGCCCCTCCCGTGCTCATGCTCTATCTTGCTGTCAAAATAAATAAACCTAAAATAAATAAATAAATAAATAAATAAATAAATAAATAAATAAATAAATAAATGTATGTATGTATGTATGTATGTATGTATGTTATTAATAAACAAAGTGTAGTATATACATGCAGTGGAGTATTACTCAGCCTATAAAAGGAAGGAAATTCTGACACATGCTACCAGAAAGATGAACCTTAAGGACATTATGCTAAAGGAAATAAGTCACAAAGGGACAGATACTGTAGTTCCAGTGCCCAGAGTGGTCAAAAATATAGAGACGGAAAGCACAATGGTGGTTGCCAGGGGCCAGGGGAGAAGGAAATAGAGGAGGCCTGGTGTTTATTGGGTAAAGTTTCAGTTCAGGAAGATGAATCAAGTGTGGACATGGACGGTGGTGACGGGTGCACAACAAACAATAAGTACACTTAATGCCACTGAAGTGCACACTTAAAAATCACTAAACTGGTATATTTTACGGTATGTCTATATCGTACCCCAATTTTTAAAAAAGATGTTCTGAATTTTAAAGGTCCAAGTTGTTCTTGAGACAAAAGCCAGGTACGGGAGAGGCACAAATGTTACTTCTATCTGATGATTAGAAGAGAGAATCAGAATGACCCTCACTGCCACCCAAGTATCTTTTCCCATTTTTTTCTGGCAGCCTAACTTTATTTGGCCCCCAAATCTAAAATAGAACTGAAAATAAAATACTTAAGCGTATTTTTAAAAGTCCCTGGAGTCTTGCTATTTTGTCTTTCATAAAATGCCATATGGCATTCTTAAAGGATGAGATGTGACTCATTCATTGGTGAAGAGTGGCAATTTACAAACAGCACTTTGATTACCAAACAGTTCATTAGAATGTCTTACCTTTTGCCACCGCTTGAAATCTGGAATAACTGATTCAAATATATTTTCTTTATCAGGAGATGAAATGTCTTTTTCACTGGAAGAAGGAAAAAGAATAAGAGCAGGGTCTCAGAACAGTATATCAACAAAGAAAATCATGAATCTGGGGCGCCTGGGTGGCTCAGTCGGTTGAGCGTCCGACTTCAGCTCAGGTCATGATCTCACAGTCCGTGAGTTCGAGCCCTGCGTCAGGCTCTGTGCTGACAGCTCAGAGCCTGGAGCCTGCTTCAGATTCTGTGTCTCCTTCTCTCTCTGCCCCTCCCCTGCTCATGCTCTGTCTCTCTCTGTCTCAAAAATAAATAAAAACATTAAAAAAAAAAAAAGAAAGAAAATCATGAATCTGTATACTGCATTATAACATTATGTTTCTCCTGAATGATTTCCAAGCATGCCTTCCAGGGTTAGCCCCTTTCCTTACAGGCATTCATCTTTAAATTTGCAAATATAAATATAAGTATAAACATAAATTCAGGCTCCAATCAGACCTGAGCAATCAAGTTATAAGGTCAGAGGCCATAAGAGTACTGACAGGGCAGTGTCTGGGTCTCTGACACCCAAAATTAGATCATCATAAGAATAAGTCCTGTTAAATACAGCAGCCAAAACAGTATGTAATGAATAGGAAGCCTAATGAATAATGAAGACTCAACATTTAGTCCAGGAGTCCCAACTTCTGGCAAGAAAGAGTTTCTTTTAATATCTCTGAAGTCTCACAAGGCGAAAGCTCTTGATAAAGAAGTTCTTGAAGAGAAAGAGAAAAGTGAACCCTCCTGCTCTCTGTGCTCCCCTAACCAGCTAAGAGTCAACAAACAGCAAAAACAGGAAACGGCAGTAGTCACCAGCTTGGATATGTACCAGCTTCAGCTTCCAGAACTTCCAAAAAATCTACTGACTGGAAAACCTTAGAGGATCTGAAAAACCGATACCATTGTCCTCAATCTGAAATGGAACCGGTTCCTAAATGTGTTTCCTCAACAAACCAAGCATCTTAAAGTTTTAAAAAACCTTAGAAATCATTGAGTCAAGACTAGATTCAAAGTCCAGATTCCCACTAACTTTAGCTGTGATTTCATCATCCCACCTTGACTTAACTACTTTATAGGCAGCCATTGTCAGATTTCTCTAATTGTTATAAAGTATAACACCAATCAAAATCAATCTCCTTCTAACTGCCACCCACTGGTTCTATTTCTCTGCACATGCAGATGCATCTAGATATTCAGGTTTGCCAATAATAATGACATATGTTGACATGAGAGAAAAGGAAACGAGAGGAGAGGGAGGGGAGGGGAGGGAAGG